AAACAATATATCCTCTCCTGCCTCCCTGAACATTCCCACAACATCCACCTCAAACAAATTTTTTTTTTTTTATAAAATTTTTATTTGGTTTTCTGCTTTTATAAAGACAAAACATACACAAAGAAAAAACAAAGACAAAAACATGTATAAAGTCAGCAAATCCCCATTTCATAACCTTGTTCCCTGACTTCCCCCCACCCCCCCTAATGCATCCCAGTTTCAAGATCATGTCAGCAAGTTGATATTTCTCCTCTTAACAATCTTATTCATCTTATTTCCTTTTTTTTATAATAAAAATTAGTTTTCATAAGTTGGACTTAAGTTCTCTTCCATCGATTTTCATTTTATCTTAATTAAAAGTCATCTTAACCAAACCTAGAAGTCTTGAGAGTTTTTAAGAGTCTCTTCTTCCCTCCCTCCCATCCCCGGTTTTTGTCCCTTCCCAATAAAAATCCAAATTCGAAGTTCTCAGCCTGGGTTCCTCACGTCCGAGGCTTTCAAATCTATTTCCGTTCCTCTCCGCCTGTCCTGTTGGTAGTCCTTTACAGCAGTCGTCAGATCTGGGAAAAGTTCTTTCACCATCAAAGTATGTCCTCCTCCAACAAAAAGATTCAAAGGTGGCTGCTGAAGTATTTCCACAAAGTCTATCTCTTCCAAGTCTAAGTCCAAACGGAGACCCCAATCATATTTCTTTATTTTAAATTCCTGTACTCCATTTTGTCTTGGGGCCTCCTCCTTCTTCTTCTGTATCTCTCGCAGACTTGTGGTGAATATGTTCCCAGCGTCTCCTTGCTTGTATTCCACAGATGTCAACTTTTGGTTATTACTTCCCAGGATTACTTCTTCTTTTTCTTGTTGTTTAGTCTCTTCCAGCTCTGTAGATATTGTTTCCCAATCAGCTGTGGATTCTTTCTCATTGAGGTCCTCAATACAAAGAGCAGAGTTGCCTGTTCCCAAGGTCATAGTCTCAAGTTGTTTGTTCATGGCCAAACTCTGCTCCTGTAAGATTCCCACCAATTGAAACATCCTTTCGATTTCCACTAGTAACTTTCCTTCCACAGCCATTGTATCCATTGTAGTTTCACAGAGTTCCCCCTAGGGGGAATCTGGTTACTTATTTGCCTTTTCACCAACAATCCTTAAACTGATTATTATTACTTTGTTTCCAACAGTTTCAGCTCAATTATAACTCGTCTTAGTCCATAAAAATCTTAAATGGCAATTTCTCGCTTTAAACCGCCCGTTTGGCAGCTTTGACAGCTGTCAAACTCCGCAGCTCTAACGCAGGCACGAAGGCAGGACGTTCCCGAGCCCGGGAGGGGGGGTTGTTTAAAACAGAAGGAAGGTTTCCAAAACTCCACTCTCCTGCACAAAATTTTCCTTTAGTAAAATCTTGAAAGTTAGTGTCCTTTTTAACTCACCCCACCAAGGGTAGGCTCTCCAGCTTATCTCTTGTGTCGTTGCTTAGATGGTCTGCAAGGGGGGGGGGTGCGGACTTCCTTTTAGCACACCCCCCGGTCGTCTCCAATTAAAGGTAAAATTTTTCAAAAGTCCCAATCCGTCTTACTCACGGGTAATTCTTTCAGTCCAAATTTTCAAGGAAGGAAGTCAACGCTCTCCGGTCATGGCTCGCGGCTTCGCTCCACCGAGGTAGCGATCGACTCTCAGTGCCACGCCACCCCCGTATCCCCTCCGCAGCCTTTAAAAAGGCTCTTTGCGAATCAGGGGGGGCGCTTGAGGCACCCGCCGAGTCTTCAGTCCGCAGGCTTTCGCGCCTGCGGTTTTTAAGGGTCCCCGCGTCGCCGGCGCGGCAAAGACCCATCCTCATTGGAGCCGATTCCCTCCGGAGCTCGGAGGGAATCCGCCATTTCCAGATCGCGTCAACCCGGAAGTCCTCCACCTCAAACAAATTAGCCACCAGTTCAGCTTCCTATTTCTAGGTATCTCAGGGCTTTGCCTTGGGAGAAGCGTTTCTGAAAAAAGAGTTTAAGCCAGCAAATCTCAGGCAGAGAGCGTGGGGGCGGGGAAAGAAAGCAGGCACATATGCCTTCCCATATGTCCACTGCAGCGAAACGATCCTTTTACTTCCTTGCTCCACTTTGCTTGCATTTAGGGCCTGCTACCAAGCCTCAGCTCTCTCTACAGGACTGTTGCAATTTGCATGACCGATCAGGGCAAATCCTCCCGAGAGCAGCTCTTCCCTAAGGGCCAGTTTCATGCTGTGTTATCATGCCGGGCATAAGGGAAGCAGAAGAGCAAGTAAGAAGCGCTCAGGCCAGAACTGCGCGTTACATTGGTACGGTGGGGTTCTGCTGAGGAAGCAAAGCAAACCACACGCGCGTGCCGGTCTTTCCAGACGGAAGCCGGCTGAGGGAAGCAGCTTGTAGGGACGGATGTCTGACAATGCTAGCAAAAATTCTTCTTTGGGGAGGGAGGGGAGTTCTGATGCAAATTGGCCAGGCACGTTTGACTCAATTTCCCACACCATTTGTCTTCTTGGCAGCGACCTAGTTAAACAGATTAGCATTTTGAGCAGCCCAAAGAGTGCTACTGGGGGGATACAGAAAGGCGATGGGCATGTGGAAAGAGGCAACAGACCACATAATGCATGTTTCCATGTTTCCCATGTGCCTGTCTGTTCCCAAACTCTCCTGTGCGACGGAGAGACCATCACAGATGCTACAGATGAGAGCCAGTGTGGTGTAGTGGTTAAGAGCGGTAGTCTCGTAATCTGGGGAACCGGGTTCGCGTCTCCGCTCCTCCACATGCAGCTGCTGGGTGACCTTGGGCTAGTCACACTTCTCTGAAGTCTCTCAGCCCCACTCGCCTCACAGAGTGTTTGTTGTGGGGGAGGAAGGGAAAGGAGAATGTTAGCCGCTTTGAGACTCCTTCGGGGAGTGATAAAGCGGGATATCAAATCCAAACTCTTCTCTTCTTCTTCTACATACAGACCGTTCCAATCTCTTCACAGGGCCTCAGATATGATGCTTTGCCGAAGATGTTGGTTCATATGTTCAGCGGTCAGTCATCGAGTGCATAGGAGTCAGACGAGGGAAGTGAATGTCCGCAGAGAGCTTGAGCACAGTGGCGTAGCGTGGGCTGTCAGCACCCGGGGCAAGGCAAGTAATTTGCGCCCCCTAACCCGTGGATTTGCACCCCCTAACCCGTGGATTTGCGCCCCCTAACCTGTGGATTTGCCCTAACCCCAGATGTTGTGCCCGGTGCGGCCGGCCCCCCCTGCACCCCCCACGCTACGCCACTGCTTGAGCACAATCAAGTTATGTATGGGAGGGGAGGGGCAGTTTGTTCACCTTTAGTCCCCACCCTGAACTCAGCTCTCACCTGTGGCTCCTAGAACCTGTCAGCATGGGACAGTGACCACACCCTGGGAAAGAAGCTTGGACTGGCCAGCGAAACTAGGTGAGGATAGCCGATGGATCTCAAACCCTTAGTGGGTTAGGGAATTCCCCTACTTGCAAAGACAGGGACCAAAAGAGGGTCCAATAGAAGGCAGTTTCTGCATGTGCTGTACAGGGAAGTGAGCGGCAGATGTGGGGCTCATCGACCTGGGAAGGTAGCCCATCTAGGAGAAGGGAAACTCTGTTCCTAAACCTCCGCTGCCTGGCAACTGGTTACATCACAGGAGTACATCACAGGAGTACATCACAGGTGTAACCAGGATTTTTGTTGGGGGTGGCTGGATTTTTGTGGCCCCCCAAATGTCGTGATTGGTCAGTTAGTTATTTCTATTGTTTTACTTGATCTGAAGAGGGGCAGCTGCCCCCCCATGGCTACGCCCATGACTCTTATATGAGAAAAGCTTCCAGAGTAAACCCTAAGGAAAAATCTTTACCTGCTGTTTTGTGGGACATCTTCAGGAGAAGAAAAAGCTGAGGAGTAAAATTCTGTGGGAGGGGTGCTATTGTTTTCTTTTGTTTTTGATTTAACTATTTATTTTGTGCTTTTATTCTGTATTTTTATCTTGGGAACTGCCCTGGGATCTTCAGAAGAAGGGTGGTCCTCCTCTGAGGGTCTTCTGCTGGTTCCCTCATTGCAAGAAGTGAAGCTGCAGGGAACCAGGCAGAGGGCCTTCTCGGTAGTGGCTCCCACCCTGTGGAACACCCTCCCATCAGATGTCAAGGAGATAAAGAACTACACAAGTTTTAGAAGACATCTGAAGGCAGCCCTGTATCAGGAGCTTTTAAATGTTTGATTTTTTTATTATGTTTTTATATGTGCTGTAAGCCGTCCAGAGGGGCTGGGGAAACCCAGCCAGTTAGTTGGGGTATTATTATTAATCCCTACACGAATCTGGAGTGGTGTCCCTAAGGTGGTTCATGGTATCTTGTAGGTCTCCTTCCAGAAACTCCTACAGTAAAGCTGGTGCCAAATGTTGTTCCTATTTCCTTTGCGCCACATCTGCTAGTCCAGGAGGGAGGGCGGTGGTCTTCATTGCAGCGCGTTTCTTCCTCTTCCGCTTGGGGCGTACAGACGCGGAGCAAAAGGAGCGCAAGGGCGGAGACGAGGGGCAAGAGTTTGGGGCGAAGCGCGCGCGGCTGCGGGAAGGTGCACTTGCAGCGCGCTCCTCGCTGGAAAGGCATCGTTGCCCGCCTCCCGGTCTTTAGCACAAACTGGGACATCCCCCCACCAGCAGGCGGGCTGGCTGCTTAACCTCTGCAAAAGGACAAAAGCCTTTGGCCGGGAGGGTCCGCTCTGCAAAATCTGAAGCGTTGCAAACGAGTCGTCTTGTTGATTTCTGGTGCCTCTTGCGCCGGCTCCTTGGCTGGGGCAGCCCGATCCTCTTCATAGTTCTTCATAAGGCGACTCTCCCTGTTATTTGGAGAGGACTTTTTTTCTTGAGCCTTTGCTCCTTGAACTTGGAAGCCAGCCCTTAGTAGCTTCAGTGGGGACGACCAGTGGCGTAGCGTGGGTTGTCAGCACCCGGGGCAAGGCAAGTAATTTGCGCCCCCTAACCCGTGGATTTTAACACTCGAGTGGAGCGCTCCCCCCAGATGTTGCGTCTGGTGCGGCCGGCCCCCCTGCACCCCCCACGCTACGCCACTGGGGACGACAGTCTCGGATCGCCCAAGGCGCGCGGGGTTCCTCCTACTGGAGACCTTTAAGTCTGCCCTCCCCGCACACTTTGTGCCACACAACACTCCGCAACCAACTCCCTCTCTCGCCCCATGCTTCCGTTGCTGTCCCCTCCCCCCACTCCTACAATATACCATTTGCAATGGCTTCTAATGCATCTCCCAGCAGCTTTGTTGATCTCTGGCCCGGGATCCAAAGCGGAGCAGAAGCAGAGAGGCCCGCGGGACTTCACGTGTAAGACTGCAAGCGCGGTAAGAGGCAGCTGGTTTTGGAAGCCTGCCTTCAGCGGCGGCGGCAGCGGCGCTCTTAGCAGCGGCAGAGGCAGCAGTCGGAGGACGGGGAAGCCGGCTTTGCAGGAGCTGCGCGCAGAGCAATGCTGCTGGGGCGCAGAGACGGCGCGCTCCCCTGAGCCTCGCCGCGCGCGTTGCGAAGGGAAGGGCGATGCACTGAGACGCCCCTTGGCAAGCGGTGCGTCGGCTGGGGGGAGTTTTGCTGCTGCTTTTCTTCCTCTTCTCTCCCCCCCCCTCCACCCCACAGCAAAGGATTCTCTTGGCAAACGGAGCTCCCTTCTCTATCCCCCACCCTCAAGCCCAGGGAGCTCCTCCGATGACCCCGGGGACTTCGTGAAAGCCATGCGCCCCGACGACATCAACCCTCGCACCGGCCTGGTGGTGGCTTTGGTCAGCGTCGTCTTGGTGTTCGGCTTCATGTTCACGGTGTCCGGGATCAAGGGGGAGACTTTGGGGGACATCCCTCTGCTGGCCATCGGGCCGGCCATCTGCTTGCCGGGCATCGCCGCCATCGCCCTAGCGAGGAAAACCGACGGCTGCACCAAGTGGCCCGATAAGAGGGGGCGCCCGCCTTGCGGCGGCTGCTGCTGCTGCCGCAAGAAGCCCCGAGACAAAGACGTGCTGGAGCTGCTGAGGACCCCGTCGGACCTGGAGTCTGGCAAGGGCAGCTGCGACGAGCTGGCCAAGAAAGCCTATGGAGCCAAGGACAGGAAGGGGAGCTCCCGAGGAGGAGAGGACGGCCTCTCCACTTGCACGACCATCACCACCTCCGCCGCCGTCGGGGAGGGCAGGGGCTCTCTGCACAAAGCGGAGCAGGAGGAAAAGCTGAGATACTTGGAAAACTGCTGCCCGGAGATGCCTGGGAATGTCTTGGGGGCCGGAGCCACCCTTTTCAGTGCCTTAGAGGAGGAGAAGCAGCAGCAGCAGCAGGAAGGATCTCCCGTCTTCGAAGGGGCCCCCGCGCTCCCGGGCGCAGAGGACACCGTTTCCGTGGCCCCTCTGAACAGCATCATCGTCTGTTCCTACAAGGACAGCAGCCCTTACGACAGGTACTGTTGCTATATAAACCCCAGCGAGGAAATCAGCTCGGATCACGAGACGATAGTTTGAAAAGATTTGGTGGACGGGTCCTCTTTCTCCCCTCCCCTCTTTTTTATTTTTAAAAAAAGACTTTGACGAATGGGCGGTGTTGTTTCGAGCAAGTAATGAAGGAACCCTCCCAGCAGCCGGTTGTTTTAAAACAAAAATAATAACTGGTAACAATAGTAATAATAGTAATAATAATTAATAATAATAATATTGGCTGGATTTGCACTGCATGGGACAATTCTCATAGCTATTAACTAACTTTTTTCTAAACCCCAACAGCCTGGTATGTGACTGATACTCAAACCTTTTGTGCCTGGGAAATCAAACTTTTATTTAGTTATTATTTTCGGTTTCTTGTTAAAAGTAATAATAAGCATGTTTCAGGAGAATCAGTCTTTTCTATCACAATTTGTCAGCTGGGGGTGTGTGCGTTACTGACCCTTGCAGGGACCGGGGGCTGGTGGAGAGGGTGGGGATGCTCTGGCAGCTCAAACGTAAAGCAGAAATCAAATGTCAGGAGTGCTTCTTGGAAGCGCAAGGTATTCAGAGCTCTGCCTCTTCCACTGACTTCTGAAAGCACTGATAAAGAGGCCGGGTGCAGTTTATTTTAAGATGCTTCCGTCTGGTAAAATGGGGCAGAGGGTGGGGAGAGTCAGGCTGGCCCTAAGTTTTTTCAGTTTTGGGTGCAGTAAGTTGCCTATTTAATGTGCTCTTGTATTCTCACTGCCTGGTGAGGAAAGAGGCGCTTGAGGGATTTTCCGCGTCGTGTGCCAAAATCAAGTGACCAGCCCTCCGAATGTTGGGCACGCACTTCCTTACACCAAGTCAGGCCATTGGTCTGTCTAGCTCAGTGCTGTTGACCCTGATTGGCTGCAGCTGCCCAGGGTTTCAGACTGGGGTGTCTCCTCACCCGGCCTGGAGATACCGGGGATCAAACCCAGGGCATTCTGCATGCAGCCACTGATCTACTGCCCTTCTACAATGTACTACACACATTGACTTGTAGGGGGCGCCACTTGCTGCTCTGCCTCAGGCAGCAAAACATCTTGGCCCGGCCCTGTCATTTTTACCATCATATGGATCAGGCAGGGAACTTCAGACAGCCCAGCAGGGGCATTGTGTCAAATAAATTTGACCCATGACGATCTTGGAGACTGAGAACCATTTTTAACAGCCAAAACAGTTGGTGGGAGTAAGGAGTCTGTATACACATTACCGTTTTCTTGTGTACCCGTGGTCCAGAGCTATCCTGTAGTTTTGTTTGAGAAATGCTGCTGTTTGTTGCTTTCCCTTTTCAAACCAACTTCAGTCCGTCAGGAAAATTTAAGCCACATGCGCAATTAAGCTGAGACGTAGAAGACAGTGCATGCGCATGGGTGGATGACAACGCATGCGCAGATGGCAACTTTGTGAATAGGAGTTTGGGGAGGGGGGTTGCAGAGGGGGGGAACCCAACAGGTAGAGACATCCCCGTCCCTTCTCAGGTGTGTACAACAACATGCAAAGGTGACTTGAAGCACAGTGGGGCGGGGTAGGAAATGACCTCACTGCATTTTAAGTTGCTAATGTGTACTCAGCCTAAGAGAAATACAGTTAACTCCAGCAGCAGGGTTACTCGGGCTGAAATCCTATGCATACTTTCCTGGGCGTAAGTCCCATTAAACTCAGTGGGGCTTACGTCTTGGCTTGTAATTTATAGAATTGCTCTGACAAGATGGAAACATGATTCCCCCTTTTTACTTTTTGGTGTGTGTGTCTGCTTTTAATAACCCATCATGGGTTTGCAACTATTTCCCCCCTCCGTTGAATATTCAGTATAGTTTAAGTGTTACGTCATTGTTCTGTTGCACTGATATCTGGGGGGGGGAGCTGCGGGGGAGAGAGAATGCTATCCTTTTTTTTCAATGCAAGATTTCTAGTGAAATTGATCTGAAGCGTAGTGTAAGTAGCTTACAACAGGACAGCACCGCTGGTATTGACAGCACACCTGATTTTGACTTTAAAAGGCATATAGGGACAGGTGGAAAAGCTTTTGAGAGCCTGGAAAAGGGTTTTGGAAATACGAATGGATACTTCTTTTTGACAAGTTATTGTTCATGGAGGGGGAGGAATATAAACATATTTCAAAGGCCATATTAATATGCCGTCTTAATGGTGGCATTTTAAAAATCTGAATAAAACAAAACCCTGTGTTATGGTCCTCTGTTTTCAGCATTCACTGTGACTACTTTGAATGTATATATATACAGTGGTACCTCGGGTTACAAACACTTTGGGTTACGTGTTTTCAGGTTGCGGACCGCAGGAAACCCGGAAGTACCGGAAAGGGTTACTTCCGGGTTTCACCGCTTGCGCATGCACAGAAGCGCCAAATCACGCTTTGTGCATGTGCAGAAGTGCCAAATCGCGTCACGCACATGTGCAGACGCAGCGCTGCAGGTTACGAACGCTGCGGGTTGCGGACGTGCCTCCATCACAGATTACGTCCGCAACCTGAGGTTCCACTGTACAGTGGTACCTCGGGTTAAGTACTTAATTCATTCCAGAGGTCCATACTTAACCTGAAACTGTTCTTAACCTGAAGCACCACCTTAGCTAATGGGGCCTCCTGCTGCTGCTGCTGCTGCTGCTGCTGCGCCGCCGGAGCACAATTTCTGTTCTCATCCTGAAGCAAAGTTCTTAACCTGAAGCATTATTTCTGGGTTAGCGGCGTATGTAACCTGAAGCATATGTAACCTGAGGTACCACTGTATATATATAGCCAGATTCCTTCCCCATTGCCCTGTCCTGAAAACTAATTGATTGTAAAATTATTGCTGGTGGTTTTGTTTGTTAGTTTTCTCCCACAGCTCAATCCCATCTTCCCTTCCCTTTCTCAATGCATTTGAAAAACTGGCCAGTGGATCAAATGCTGTTAGAGTAGTATCCCTTGATCCTCCCCTCACATGCTTCAAATATGCTGAATCCATCTTTTTTTCTTTTTAGGGCACGGTATGTATTATTCAGTCAACATCGCATTCACTCACACCATTTCTTTTTAAAACAGAATCCATTTTTAAACCCTTTTCCAGAGTGGAGAGAAAGAGGAGGTTGGTTAGTGACGTCACTGGTCTTCTGCCAATCTGTGCTGTGTGCGGTATGCTGAACTCAGAACTTCTCTCTCCCCGAAGCTCAGTCCGGAGGAGAAACAAAACATGGCGAGTGCCACTCCGCAGAAAGCTTGCCATTAGAATCATGTATGTGTATATGTACACATGCTAGAGGTGGTGTGTGGAATTCACTGCCACAAGATTTGCTAGGATTAGATGAGTCAAGGGCTATCAATGTCTGTGATTGCTTTCAGGCCTTTTGGAGACACGGGGCAGTATATAAACAAATGTCAGCTGCTAGGGGGAAAGTCTCATGCTCATACCTTTTTTGTGATATTCCAGAGATACCAGGCTGGTTAGAGCTGGGAACAGGACGCTGGGCTGGGTGGAACTTGGTCTAATCCATTCGTGGGTTCTCTTAAAGAAAATGTGACTGCACTTATGGAATGACCGGGCACTTGGCTCTAAGACCACTTCTCATCCAAATCAATGGCTGAAGCTCTGCTCCAGCAGTAGTTTCCACAGCAGAAGAAGACATGTGCACATGTCTCCTTCAGAATTGTACCTCTTCAGTAGAATAATCTGGGGAATGGGGAAGGAGATAACTGAATAACCTGGATTAAAAAAATTGACACGTTCCATTCTAAAACCAGTGGCATCATCCATCCTAAACAGCTCACTTGGTTACCGTGAGTTGCTGATAACACCAAGATTGCAGGTTTGATCTCCTTTTTGGGACAGCTGTGTATTCCAGAGGGTTGGGCTAGATGTTGCTCAGCATCACTTCCAACTCTACAATTCAATGATTCCATAACAACGAAGCAGTTTTAGACCCCTTTGGTTTCAGTGGGTGTATTGAGCATGTTTCTCAATTCTTCCAGTTGAAGCCTGTGAGGTTTCAGTGGGTGTATTGAGCATGTTTCTCAATCCTTCCAGTTGAAGCCTGTGAGGTTCAAAAGAGCTTAACTTTGCCTTGGCTGTGCACCTGGGTATCCCCGCCCTCGGGTAACATTAAGGAAATTGTCAGCTAGAGTTTTCGCACAAGGTGGGCTGTCTGCATCGATTCAGTTATCATTTGTCGCCATAGCAATGGAAGCAGGAACTTTCTGATGACTCAGCATAAAACATGTCACTTGGCAGACCTCTCAAAGCCTGCAGGGAATGAGTCAGCAAAAACTATGTACATTACGTCTCCGTATCATATGTGCAATACTGTACATGTACCAATATCTGATTTGGGATTTTATATGTGTTATATATTTAATCTATGCAGGATGCCTTTCAAGGGTTAATTGTGAGGAACAATATATTCAATAAATCCAGAGTAATTTGTACGTCCTGGGCTTTCCTTTGTAAGTTTGTCCATGCTTCGTTTCTGTGGCTGATTGCGCAGCTCTGAAAAGCCTCGGAGTTTTAAGAAAGAAGGAAAGAAAAATATCCGTACGAGCTCTTGTTTTCATCATACATAATTTACTCCAGACCACTTGATCATCCAATCCTCCATTGAAGGCTTGGGATAATTCTGCAGAAAACTGACTTCTGATTTTTCCGCGGAGAGAGAGAGAGAGAGAGAGAGAGAGAGAGAGAGAGAGAGAGAGAGATGGTTTGGCTAGGCGACTCTCACACATGTGATGCTATCTAGCAGATAGACAGAAGTCCTCAGGCTCCTTCAGGGCCGTCTTGTTTTTGGAAACATTGTTACCGACAGTTATTTCAAAGGGAATTATCAAAGGGAGAGATGATGCTTTTCATTAGGGGTGTGAACTTTTCCTACTTGCTCACCATAAAATTGTACAGCCATTTAGAGGGAAAAGCAGGGGAGAGCGAGGCATTTACTCATCGTTTGAAGGCTCACAGCAGACAGCTGCGTAGACCAGACCAAGTTCACTAAGCAGCGTTTTACAGGTTACGATACGATAATCTTTATTGTCCCATACAGAACAACGAAATTGAAAATCTACATCAGACATTCAGAAACCAACAAACCTGCTGTCCCAGCTATCCCAGCCTGGTTAGCCCCCTAAAAACTCTGATACCCCATAGTTAAATACAATATACTCCCATAGAGACTACCTTACACTGCGTTTAAAACCAAAATCGCATTTCAATAGAAACTGCTTCAGCAAAAGCTGAAAGAGATAAATTTCTGGGGTGCACACTATTCTGCACTATCTCTGCAGCTTCATCCATTCATCTGTGGGTTCCTCCAAGGTTCATTTGGGGCCAACCTTTGCCCTGAGGAAGACAGGTCATCCATATCTGAGCTCCAGTGGTATAAACTCAGATAGATTAGCTAATCACCAAATGGCACCTTTAACCTTGGTTCTGGTCGCCACTACCGAATGTCTAGGCACTTTTCTTTTTTTAAAAGAGAATCATTATTATTAAATTCATTTCTACACCACTTTATATTTCAAAGAAAGCATCCCAAAGCAGTTGAGATTGGATTAAAACATCAAATTATTTGATTATAACATCAAATGAAACAATCCAGAATAAAACAAATTCAAGTTTAAGGAAAATAGTTCAGATCCTTCTCTAAGGGACATTTGGCTTTCCCCATATTTATTTGCCTACTTAATTTATATAGCTGCCCCAGAGCAGAAGTACTCTAGGAATAGCGGTTAAGAGTTTTGGACTAGGACCTGGGAGATGAAGGTTCAACTTCTCACTCAGTTGTGAAGTCACTCACCATCTCTGAGCCTTTACAGTTGGCTGAAGGGAGAACGAAAAAAAGATTGGTGCAGGGGTAAAGCAGTTATGGTTAATGAATAAAATTGCCGTATTTTTTGCTCCATAAGACACACTTTTTCCCTCCTAAAAAGGGGAAATGTCTGTGCGTCTTATGGAGCGAATGTGTGGGTCCATCGCTGGTTCCCTTTCTGGCCCCGCCGCCTTGCCCAGGCCTCCATTGTTAAATGTTCTGCAGACGGAGGCTGTTTGTTTCCCCAGCGACATGTGACTGGCTGATTAGATTACAGTGGTACCTCAGGTTACATACGCTTTAGGTTACAGACTCCGCTAACCCAGAAATAGTACCTCGGGTTAAGAACTTTGCTTCAGGATGAGAACAGAAATTATGCTCTGGCGGCGCGGCGGCAGCAGGAGGCCCCATTAGCTAAAGTGGTGCTTCAGGTTAAGAACGAACCTCCGGAATGAATTAAGTACTTAACCCAAGGTACCACTGTATCTGTCTGGAAACTGTAGAAACGGCTCCCTTTCCTTTCCTAAAGAAGCTGCAGAACTGTGAGTTGAACCCCCTAAACACAGGATTTTTTCCCTTTGCAAAGTAAGCTCAATAACTTGAGCTGATCCTCAAAAAACCGGGGCTTTTTCCCCTTTGCAAAAGGAAGCTGCCCAACTTTGAGCCGATCCTCAAAAAACCGGGGCTTTCTTCCTTTGCAAAAGAAGCTGCACAACTGTGAACTGATCCTTTAAAAAACGGAGCTTTCCCCCTTTCCTCCTCTAAAAACTAGGTGCGTCTTATGGTGCAAAAAATACGGTAGTTTAATGGTTGCATGGGGGTGTTTTTCTCCTCTCTTAACACCAAGTGATAAGTTAGGCATCCCTCCTGAAATCACTGTAACTGCAAGTCCTGGCCAAATTATTCCCTGGTTGAAAGCTAGATCTGCCAGTTAACAAAACTGTACTGTTCCTCTTCTCTCCTCTTGGTTCCTACCTGTACTTAGATAGAAAGCTTTTGGACACACAGACTGGATCTGTTTTCTCTGCTCCTTCTTAAACTCCAAGGTAGCCCCAAGGCTTCAGGTGCAGCCTCAAGTGGTTTAGGATGTCTCAGAACACCAGATCCTTCAAGTTTCCCGGTTTTCCAGGGACACCCCTGGATTTACAGAAGCCGTCCCGATTTCTGATTTGATCCCAGAACGTCCCGCTTTTCCTTAGGATGTCCCTATTTTCATCAGAGAAACGTTGGAGCGTATGGAATTATGCAACCCATGAGCCAAGGAGATAAGTAACTATACAACCTTTAGAAGACATCTGAAGGCAGCCCTCTTATAGGGAAGTTTTAAAAAAAATGTTTAATGTTTTATTATTAAACTGAGGTCCAGCTCCAAGGGTCTTCTGGTGGTTCCCTCCCTGCGAGAAGTGAAGCTACAGGGAATCAGGCAGAGGTCCTTCTCAGTAGTGGTGCCCGCCCTGTGGAACACCCTCCCTTCAGATCTTAAGGAGATGAGTAATGATAGAACTTTTA